TTACGTAAGCTTTTCATCATATTTATTTCCTGACATTGTTTCCAATTTATTTTATGTGCGAGTAAATATGTGTTGTTGTTTTCCCTTCACTTAAAATTATTATTACAACAATATTATATAGAAGAAGCAATCACTTGTATCCTGTTTCAGCACTCACCAATCACCATACAATAGTTATTTTCTTCTATTAAATTTTTATTCTACTTTTTTGTTTTGTGCCATAATCATTCTGTACATGCTCATATTCTATGTTTTATTTGTCAACTAAAGGACGAAAGGAGTAAAATGTAGAAGCAGTTATATAATAATAGCAATAATAAGAAAAATAGAAAACAAAAAAACATATAATAATTAATCATAACATGTAAGCAACAATAATGTCACATACATGTGTATAAGTTTTTTGTGAATGAGTTTGTCTTATTTGTATGTGAATAAAAAAAAAATATTAGAAAAATTCTATTGTCTGCAATGCTATTAATATTCTGCTAGAATGATAGGGGTGCGTTTTGAAAATTTACTCTGAGAAAATTTTAGAATACAGTTTATCGTAAAAAGTAATGGTAAGGAAAGTAAATTAAAATTTTTTTAAAATAGGCCATGAGAAATTAACGATAAAAAATAAAGAAAGTGAAATGAACACTTAAATCATGTGTATTGAAAAATTTTTACTCTTGCTTGATACGTTATCATTTTCATCACGAGTATATATTAGCAACTATGAACGACGACGTAGATAAGGCCACTTTTATTATTAAAAACGGAATATTAAGGAAAATTAAGTCTAAATCGATTCTAATAAAATTGGTTAATAAAATAAGTCTATCGATTCTGATGCGAAGTAAGACGCAGATGTTTGCCATTTCCCATACGAGTCGCTTAAACAATTAACACCGATCGCACAAAGGCAATCATTACAAGTATGTGAAATGCATTAGAAAATCTGTTGATTTATATTGCACCAAAAAAATTAATATTTATCTATTCTAATATGTAATAATATGTGAAATCGGAATTGTGAGCGGCGGGTTCGTTAGTACTTGATATCCATTAAGAATCATCATATTAATTTTTTTTTTTAATGTTCTAATGTTTTTAAAGTTTTCATGCCCAATACATTATATGATCGTCTTTAAATATACAGTCAAGCATTTTCATATTACAACAATTGCAAATTTTCTTTGGAATAAATCTCTTGCATACCCCAATACATAAAATATTATGTTTTGATATTTTTACTTGTTTTGATTTGATTGTTATAATCCTTGTTATTTCCCATACGAAGTAATATAGAAAAAGAAAAACAATGAAATAATAAAGAAAAGGAAGTAAAAAAAGAATATTGAAACAAAATATTTACTTTTTGTAATGTTTTCCTGATAAGATGAATTTTAATTTTTAACTAATTTCTTACTCATACCATACGCGAGTATAACATTGGTATTATGAACATCTAATATTAATATGTTTGGATTTAGTCAGATTTTTATATATTCATAATGTTCCAAAATTATTTGATTTGTAGTCTAGCAAAACCTATAATATTATACGTAGATCAACCTATAATATTATACAATATTTTACAAAAATATTCAGAGCTCGCTATTTTGTAGTTGAGATATTTGAGATTTTGAATATTCGTGTCCAATTTATTTTAAGGCGAAATTTTTATTTTATTAAACCCATTTGCAATGTGAAATTGATATTTAATCAGGTGGGTTACTCCAGAAATTGTGTATAATATCGACAGAGATTAAAGATTGTTTGTAGAAAATTTAGGAAATATAAGGTATCTAATATAGTAAAACAAAAATTTTTCTATTGCTAAGCAACATTTTTAATTTGAATTTAAATTTGAAACTGGCTTCGTTTTTGGCTTCAAATTCGAAACTAAGTAAATCAAATAAATTATGTTTTAATGTGATGTGAATTATTTTGAAAAAATTCTATGTTTGAAATAAAATTACGAAGTACAAAAATGATCTTAGTCAGTTTTTACTTGCAACCGCGCATATCTAAAATTTAAAGACCGTGCACTTTATTAAGTTTGTAATTGATTATAATCGAACTTTACTAGTTTTCTAAAAAGCAGTTATTTACATTTAAAGGTAACATTAAAAAGGTTGACTAGGATATATTGTAATTTGGTTAATAACATGAACCCTATCAGTTATACATTTATAATTTATAATATTTAAGAGTTTACAACATAAAAATCCAAGTTAAGCTAAGTTTGATACAAAACAAAAAAAAATAATAAATTCGGAACTATTAAAGTTTCGAAAGTAGAATAAATTTAAACAAATACTACGAGTATTTTATAACAAAACAAGTAAAAAATATTTGGTTTTTTGCGATTTTAATATTTTTCCAAAGAAATTAAAAAAAAACGTACTTATTAGTTTTGCACGGTCCTCATACTCTTCTGTCCGAAAAGTCAATAACATTATTTGTGGCATCTCATAATTTTGGCATGATAATCATTTGTTCAAAGGGACGTACTTATGAAATAATGTATGTATATGCTTAGGAACTTATACTGTGAACTGAGATAATAATATTTTTCACTTAAACCAAAACTGGCACATATAAACGGAAATACAATTTTCTTTATGACGTCCAAGTGGCCAGTAATACCATTATAAGGCATTTTCTTATTGTAAGCGACAGGGATCCATACTATGATTTGTAATATTTGCGTTTGATTTGTAATGAAATGATAAATATAAGTCTGTGCATTAGGACGAAAAGGGATAATATATATTTTGTAATATTGATATATTTACATTTATACAAAATATAATATGTGTAGATATAAGTATTATCTATATTTAAATAATAAATTAACTGAAATATGTTTACATTTTTAATATTAACATAAAATATTTTTTATATAACAAAAATAGTTTGTAAAAAATTTTCTCTTAAGTTTTATATTAAAGTAAGCAAAAGGAAAACTTCATGAGATCCATGTAAAAAATCTATGAGTTGTGATTATTAACATAATAACCTATATGTGTCTCTGTACATGGTGAAGAAATATAAGTATTTTATATATATACATCCTTATCTAGTAAATTATACTTATTCAGAAATGACTCAGCAAATATTCTTATAAGAATTTGAAAACAAAGAATGATGTAAGAACTGGAAGAAAATGTTTTATACTTGAACTTCTTAAAGCACAAATGCATATTGAATTACTGCTCTTAAAAACATCTGAATTACTGGTTTCAAAAACTTTTATTGGCAAAATTGTAAAATTTATAAGAATTAAATCAAAAAATATAGCCTCAGTGTCCAACGAACGGCCAAAATGCGAACAATTATGTAAAACCTAGCCATGAAATTAATTTCAAAATTACGAAATGACCGACCAAGGTCAAAATGGCAAATCTGCCACGCTATACTTATTATAAAATTGAGAAAGTTGTCAAACTATAGCATTTTGAAATAAAATTTTATCACAAAATATTTTAAATAAATCACAAAAAAGAAACACTGAAAAACAAAATTCAAAATACTAAAACAAAAAATTATAAAAAAAAATTTAAATTTTGTTTTATTGCGATAATTTCTTTTTATTTCTTTTTTTAACATTTTTATTATTGCTGTAGCAAATATTTTTATTAACTGGGTTAATCTGAGATGATTTTTTCGTTGCTCTTGCTTTAAATTTTTTTGTTTTTATTATAGTTGCCTTATTGCCATACTTTCATTAAATACAATGCATTTATTTTCATTTATTTTGCTGGCTTTACAAAAATTTTCCACATAAATGAAAAGAATTTTTCTTTGTTTTTATGGTACAAAGAGAGGAAAAGAAATGAAAAAATATAAAATAAAGGCACTGTTTTATTATTTTAAAAAAAAAGTGTTCTTTTATTATCCTAAATTTTACTATTTATTCACTTTTCAAATTTGAAAAATGTTGCAAATGTTTTGCTTTGAAAAAAAAGGATATTATAAAAGGATTGAAGGAAATGTAAACATGATGGTAATTCTACATAAAAATTGTGAATCATATTGAATTAATTAGCGAATATTAGCTATATAAAGTTTATGAAATATAAAAATTCTCCTATAAAATACAAATCCCTTAGGTGCCTCAAAAAATTCCTTAAGATGCTTTAATCTCGGGCTATATTTAAGATGACTTAATCTTTATGCGGGCTATACTTAATTTTCTACTTTAAAAAAATATATACTTCATGTAAGAGATTAAGAGATCAGAGATTTGAAAGAAGATTAAGGTTTTATCGTAAAAACAAATTATTTAAGATGCGTAATTTATTTTTAATAATTTAATTTTTTAAACAATTTTTCATTTTTCTTTGGTTTTCCCTAAACCTTGAAAATAGTCCTTTAATCTGTCAATATTTTAAATAAAAATGACTTCTAATGATGGTTATGGTTTATTAATATTGGTAACATATTCACGTCATTGCATAACTTTTGGATGAAATCTTATAATAGAAGCAAATTCTAATGAGATCAAATCAGACGAGGAAAAAATAAAAAAAAAAAAAAAATCTGTTACAAAAAGAAATTCCGGTTTTTAGAGGGGAAACATTTACCATTAAATAAAAATGTTTAAAAATCTACAGATTTCGAAAAAATTGATTGCCGAAAATTGATTTTTACACAATTCTGTTCGAGATTTGTTTTAACGATTCGGGATTAAGAACGGAATCAAAAAAATAATTGGTTTTTCGAAAAAATTAATAACATATTTAGGACTTTTTATAAGTTCAACTTTCTACGAGTAATGGAGCATAACTTTGATAATTGTAAAAAATTGTAGTTTCTTTCTAAAATTGTAGTTTCTTTCTTAATGGAAATAAATGTTTTAAATAACAAGCACATATACAGACGGACGAGCTGAACCTAACAAGTTCATTTTTTCTTCGACTTGCAATACGATACTCTGCATATTTCATTATTTCTTATAATATTTTTAATTAAAAAATTTAAAGAGAATAGAGGAATGAAAAAAAAAGTTTTCATTTTAAAATAAAAGTTTTTTTTTCTTGCAAAATTTTTATTTCTTTGAAAGTTTTAAATTAATTCCACCTTTTGGCATTAACGCTACAGAATAATTATCAAATTCGATTTCTTTTTTTTCTATTGCTTCAATATTGAATTTTCTTAGAATCATCACTGCGCCCAATTTAACGTTTATTTTGCCCAATCTTATTGCTAAAAATGAAAAGAAAAGAAAAATAAAAAATGAAAAAACTTTAAAAATATTGAAAAAAATTTAAAATTATATGAAAATTAATTTAATTAACAATTTTAATTAAATAAGTTTATAATAAAATTGTGATGAACTGATATTAGATAGGCTAAGGAAAGCGATACAAAATGATTTTGAATTGACTTTATTTGTAGAAATTACACTATAACAGATTATCAAATTTGATAGGAGTTTTGCAGAAATAAGGCTTTAAGAACAACAATAATATTTCTTTTAAAATTAACCTGAGACATTAAGGTTTATTCAGGTATTTCCAAATTATATTAGTTACTACTCAAATCTTAAATCTAAACGTGATTAAAATTAAGAGATAAAAAGTTGATTAGCTAAAGCAAGAGGATCCTTGTGGTTCTAATTATAAATTGTGCTAAATTATAATTAAAATTTAGATCTTTTTTTAATAAATGCACTCATGTTTTCAAAACCTATAAAATTAGATTAATTTCAAATAATATTTTATTTAAGCAAAGACTTAAGAAAACCAGCGACATTTTGCAACTAAAGAATTTATACTAAATTTTCATAATTTTAAAAATTGTTAAATTCTGTTCTTTTTGGATGTATTCGGAATTACCGAGATGAAGAGCAAAATTTGTTAAAATGAGTTTGAATTGAAATTTCTATATGTAAGGAAATTGTATACTAATTTCATGCATTTGTTTTTTTGGATATAAGCCTAAAAATTATACCAACATTATCGAATTATTAGACAGAAATAAGAATATGTATACATGCATATATACAACTTGTATATATATTGCAATTAATATAAATAGTTTCTTATTATGTATTATACTGTTATATTACAAATAATGAAAAGGTTAAAGATAATTAGAAAAATTTATTATGTAAATTTTTCCATATTTACTAAATTATTTATTTAAGAGCAATATTCTAGGGCAAATTATCGTATTAATAACATTAATTCATGTAATGATAATAATGTTATACATATAATATAAACATTTACATATAAATATATTCAATTACATGTATATGTACGTACATGTATATATATGTATTCTAAAAATAATATAATAATCCTTACCAATACAATGTCTTGGACCATCACCAAATGGCATATAAGCTGATTCATTATAATTTTTTTGATCTTCTAGGAAACGTTCCGGAAGAAATTTTAATGGTTCTGGAAAATATGTTTCATCTCTATGCATTCCCAATAGTGATATTATAATAGGAGTTCCTTTTTTTATTATTACATTTTCTGTTTCAATTTTATAATCTTCAGTACATATCCTATTCAAAACCGGTAAACCAGGATATTTTCTCATGGTTTCTTAATAATTTTTATATTATATAGAATGTAGTATATGTTATATATAGATGTTTATATTTATGTAAGTAAAAAAATAATATTATAAGATTAGAAAAATTTGATATAAGTATGTTAGAATTGGTATTCTTGTATGTACAATGATAGTATGAGATAAAAACTTAAAGCATTTTATATATAGAAAAAAGGAAAAGAGATTAGAATTTTTTTGTTCATTTTGTAATCAAATTTAATGCTAAAACAGTGTTGTGACTGTGGAATTTTTAAAAAATTTTTGTTTTAAATTAACATGGAAATTAGTTTTGAGTTTCCATTTCTATCGATAATTTTTTTCATTAAAATTTACTTAAACATTAATTTACAATGAAGCAAGGCTTCAGAAGGGAGACTACTCGAATATGAATAAAAAAATTTGTTTTAAATTGAATGCTATAACAATTCCCACTTCAAGTCTTGCGAGACAAAGAAACGAGATTGTCACTATTGTTTCGAAATTTGAACACAAAGGGGTTGGTTCTGAAAATTTAATATTTTAGTTATATTTTCCATGTTTCAGGTAATTAACAAAAATTTTGTTTTCCAACCAAATTTTTTAAGATTTTTAAGTTTGAGATATAAAGTTAATAAAGAACAAAAATAGAAAATGGAATTGTTGCTATAAAATCGAGCTCTTGTAGCACTATAAATTATTTGATTGGGCATATTTTTAAATTAAGTTTGATTTTATTAGTCTTTCACAATATTTTTAAATTTAACAAGACTCATTTATTTTAGTAAAAGTGACAACACTGCTGATTTTGTTTTTATTACGTTTCAGTTTTGTTTTTCTTGTGTCTTGATACTTACCGTTAATACATAGTTCTAAATATGACATTTCTTGTATTGAATCATATGTAATTTGTCCATTATGTTTCTCTAGAGTTTCATTGATATTTTTTTCTAATTTCAAGTAAATTTCTTCATTTTGAGCCAATTCATATAATAAAAATGCCAATGTACTGGCACTTGTTTCCAAACCCGCAATATAAAATAAAAATGCTTGCGCTGCACATTGTTCTATTGTCATTGATTTGAGATTTTCTATCAAGAAAAAAAAATTGCAATTTTATAATTTTCATCAACAATATACTTAGAATAAGAAAATTCTATAATACAAATAAAAATTACAAAAAAAAAAATGAATTTAAGAATATAAAAAATTTTCTTGAGATTTTCCTTTCATTTATTTTTCTGTTAAATGTAAGTAGTATAATATGTGTGTATTATGTAAAGAATTTAGTATTATAAATTGAAAATTAAATAAAACTTGCATTATAGTACAGGGTATACTTATATTAATGGAATGTGATTCAAAATTTTACTATTTTACCCTTGATGAATGGCTTAATAAAAAATTAACAGCTCTTTTTTAAAGATGAAATGTAGAAAATTTATACAGAGATTTGATATTTATTAATAAGTGATTGAGTATAAGTTGAAATTAATGGGTGATGATTAAGTTTTAATCGTTCGCATAATGTTAGCATTTCAATCGCTATTTTAGATTTAAATTTTTAACAGTTCAGTAGGAAAAATGGGTTGCTTCAGTGTAATCATTATTTTATAAGTAATTGACTATGAGGTTTTGAATAATATTTCATAAATATAATCAAAATTCAATTAATTTATTAAATACGGGAATTATTCAAACATATGTTTAAATGCATCCCATAGAAAATCCGCAATTTATATACTAGTTCTATTTGAAAAAGTTTATTCAGAGTTTTATTCAACCGGTACCACAGGAATTTTAAGCACCAAAGTTTTTATTCCACCGATTGAGATTTTAAAATTGATAACAATTTTAATAATGATAAAAAAAAGTCCATTTTAACACATTGTCATCTTGAAGATTCCTGTCATGTACAGATTCTACTTTAAAAATCTTTTATGCGAAAAATTGTGCTGAAGATTAAATTAAATAAAAAAAAACACTAAAGAGTGCATTTATAATATTGAATTTTTAAAAAAAAAAATCTTATTTTTTTTCCGTGCAAAAATAATGCTTTTCAACCTGTAAACGAATAAATGCAATAAGTGTAAAGAAAATGAAAACTTAAATTCTTAATTTTTTTGAGGGTGGTTAATCGCTCTTGAATGAAAATAATGCGGTACACATATAGACAAATAAAATATAATGCTATATATATGCAATTGAAATTTTGGAAGAATATGCACATATTTTCGTCTTATTTTCCTAAAAATAATGATAATGAAACTTTTCACTTAATATTTTTTTTGTTATATTAAAATCTTCAATGAAATTCTTTTTATATATGTATATATATATATGATAATCATACCAGCTGCAGTTTCCACATCCCATATATTATCATCAATATTAATTTTTCCAGTATTACGTAATTGTATTAGAGATTGCATCAAATCTTTTCTTACAAAATTATTTTTTTCTCGAAAATCAATTGTTTCCTTAACAATTTTAACCATAAATTTGCGTGCGGGATTTGAATTAATAATGAATTTTGGTATGAATTTTACAATTCTATAATATATAAATGATAAAAATTATGATTTATATATTTTTATTACATAAGAGTGCAGTAGTAATGAAATTTGCTAAAAGTAATTAATAAAATAATACTTACTGAGGACATAGGAATAGTGCCATACCTAATAATTTGTTGAAAAATGTATTTTCATTTATTTTATCCTTAATCATAAAAAATTCATTTGTTTTATCTTTAAAACTATTCGTTTCAATACCAAATATAGTTGATGCAATTATGTCAGCAGCATATCTAAAAGAAAATATAATTATTGTAAAAAATTGTAAAATAAAATTTTAAAATTATATTTGAATTTTTTTGAATCCTAACGTGATCCAATTTAGATTTTACTCCATCTCCAGCGTACTTCTTATTGAATTTTTATTCTAAATTTGTTAAAATAATTTTTTATCCATTTTTGGTGAAAAAACTATTTAATCTGGGACCGAAAATTTGTAAAAGTTGTCGGTAATATTCGCTAAATCTTGTGAGTAAAACAGATATTTCGATCTAATTTTGAAACAAACAGGTTTTCTTTTTAATTTATAAAGCTGGAAGACACTTTTTCATGATTATGCCTAAGTTTTGAACAAAATAATATTGGCCAAATTCTGCTATTTTGAACTAGATTTCCGACAAACAGAATTTTCGATGACATTTTTTTTAATTGAAATAACCGGTTTTTTTTTAAATCCTTAAGAACTGATTAACGATTCCATGATTAAATTGAAATCCAAAGTTTGTCAGACAAAAACGTAATAATCAACAAGTTTTACCTTTTATGCGGGAAACACATACGCAATATGATTTTAATATTCTAGCTATAAAATTACTCTTAAGCTATATTAGTAAATCAATATTGATAAATTAATTGAATAAATGAAATTATGCATTTATCAAAAATTTCTTACAATTGAGTATAAGTCATCTCCCATATTATACTGCATAAAAGTAAGTGAGTATGTATAAAATATTGTTTTCTTGAAGTATGTATGAAAACAATGCAATTTTACACCTTTCATCAAACCACAAAATCCGCATGTATTCTCTAATTATCAAAATGTATAATTATTGCTTTATTTTATATTTAAAAGTTAAATATGGTAGGTGAAAATCTTATTAAAATCAAGAAATTCATGAAAAAATGTAAAGTTACGCTTAATGAGATTCTCTTAAAGCTCATAAAGTGGGATGAATGAATGTGTTAGAGTAATATTATATAGCAATAATATATTAATAGCAATAATTATTACTATATATAAATTACTATATATAACTATTATATAATTATTACTATATATAAATACAAATAGAAATAAAGAATATTTGATATTTAATTTATAATTAGCTACTTCGGAAATTTTTATAAAAGTTTTCATGTATCACTATGAATAGCACTGCCACAAATTAAAAATTTACATTATGAGAATTTAAAGCTCAAAGTTCACTGTAATATCTATACAACCAGAAGCTAGTTACTATTAAAATTATAAATTTAAAAAAAAAATTATTTATTAAAATGATAAAGAAAGATTGCAGTATTTTAAATTTATATATTATTCTCTTAGAATAATATAGATTAAGATTTAACGTAGTAGTTAACAGGCGAATTGCTTATGTCGCTCTTTTATCTCACTTTTTTATTTACTTTAAAAACAGAAGTCTAGTTTTCCGTTTTTCTAATGCATATTTCATTTTTTCAATTTGATTTTTGCATTTTTATTCAAATTATCGACTGGGCGTATCACTTTAACAAACAAAGTAAATAAATTTTGTATAAATTTAAAAAAATCGAGATGCATTACCTTCTAAGAAGATAAATATATCTTCATAATTACTAATCTTGTTCTCACTTAGCGAGTAAAATAGCGAGGTATGTGATCAGAGTCTGAATAAAAAAAAACAGATTTTATCAATTTATTTCTAAAATATTTGTATATTACATTACAAAATCACTTCCATTATAGTTTCAAATAAAGTAAATGAAACTTCCCCTTTCTATAGTAGGAATTACCACATTTTTCCAGGCAGTCTTATTTAATATACATGGATTTAGTATAACACTGACAATTTTAATTTATATGAGTATGATATTTTTAATATTATTTTTTTCAGAAAGTTAAGCTTTATGGCCCAGTAACACAAAAAAGAGAGACAAGGGAAAAGAAACTGTCTTCCATTAAATTTTTTATGGAATATAAATTAACTAGTATAGATATGATGAAGTGTTTGATCAAAATTAAATATTGAAATTCTTTCTAAGTGGTTAAGAAAATATCAAATATTGTGCATTCAAAAATCTTTATGATCAAATAAAAAATTTTAAGAAATAAATTTTCATTAGAAGTAAATTGTTATGCATGGAAGTATGTAGATCTAAAAATCAACTTATAAAATATTTTACACATCTATACACATGTACATATATAGATACTTTCAGATCGTATGTCTGTCTCGTATTAATACAATTTTTTAAACCCTAATTTTTCTATAGTGTTATCGTATATGATTTCGCGCCAATATTTGCAAATATTCACATTGCATTTATTGTAATAACAATTTTTAGTATATTTGATACTAAAACGCAAATATTACGAATTATACGTGTACCTATTTTATAACATATGTACATATATAAAAATACTGCAAAAAAACTTCATATGTATAAAAAAAAGTAATAAAAAATAATTGTGTTGATGTGCGTTTTTTATTTAATTAAAAAGTTTATTAGAAATTTTACACTAGATGACCGACTAAAAAAAGATGTACAATTATTATTGTTTGTTTTTCTTATTAAAAATTGCATAATATTTTCATTTGAGTATTCAATTTAAAATATCACTAATTTTTTTATAAAAAAAAAACCTACATTAGAATAAATGATGACTCAAAAAAATTCACAATGCTGTTACACATTTTTTTCATATCCATGAAATTATACTCAAATTTAATTGAATGCGATTTTATTTCTCAAATAATACAAAAATTTATTTTTATTGTCTGAATATTAAAGCTATTTGAAATTTCAAAGCAGTAGATGAGATAGTCGGCATGTTGAATCTCAGTATATGAGAAAAGCTTTACGCCTTTAAAAGCTTTAAGTTATAAATTAAGTTTTATTTCATAGAATGACCGGGAATGCTTTACAGAAAATTTGCAATTGGCGCCATAAAACTTTGGAGATTATAGATAATTCATTAATTCAAATCAGGAAGTTTACGTTTAACAATCAATAATATTGTTTTTCTTGTTCAAGGTCCAGGCCCGAATTTTCAATTCTGGCCGAAAATTTATTTAACAAACAAAAAATTAAATAATACCGCTTTAAATTTGGTGTTTCATTACTTATTAATTTAACAACTACATGTTGTATTAGCAAAATTCATAATTTGGGGTTTCGTTTTGATCTGGGTCAAAGAAACTATTTTGTAAATGTACGTAAAATGGGTTTCTGCTTTATTTTTCGAAAATCGATTTTTCGGAGCTTTATCTACTTTATAAGCGTCAAAATTGCATAAGAATAAGAGGCAAATATCTTTTGAAAATAAGTGCTGCAGAACTGAGTGTAATCAATTACCAATTCATTCACAAAATACTCCTTAAAAATTATTAAATATTATTTTTTTTTAAAGAGTTTGTAGAACATATTTCGGCCTAAAATATTTCGGCCTATTAAATGTAATACTATTTTCAATGGTATAGTCAGTAAAACCAATCATGCTCGTCGCCGTTCTACATTTGTTTCATATTCTATAATGTGCTACTATTTTATTTTCATTTTATTCAAATTCATTTTAATATTTAAAATTTTTATTTTAATATTTTCTTTTAAAAAATATTTTGTATTTTTTAATGTTTTATTGATCATTATAGTGCCAATAATTGAGTCAACATTTAATATAGAGGTTATTAGAGTCCAATAAAAAATTTAATTAAATTTTATTTTTTTTTATATACTTAGTTTTTATTGAATTTATTATTGTTTCTTAAAAATTTATTTGCTTACACGTTTGCTGTACATAGAATGTTATCAGTATGACATAGTGCAAATCAAGTGATTAAAGTAGTGAAAACTTTTATCAGTTTTTAAAAACTTATTGCTCTTATAGTTTTTATTATTGATTATTATTTAATAACTTATAGTTATTTATGGTTATAATGCGATTACTACCAAAATTGTTTGATTTGATAAACGATTTCATTATTCTTGGGGGTATTAAGCTGATTAGAATTATATCGTTATCTGATACAAAGTGTGTATTTTTAATACAATTTTAATAGATTCCCACATAAGTTCAAAGTTCAAAAGTCTTATTTATTTACAAAATTTAATGTTAAATAATGAGAAATTAAATATTTTACTCATGCCTTTATAGAAATAGCAAAACTGTGCTCTAAAGTAATTGCAATTTGTGCAATTGAGACAATATTTTTTCTGAAAAATTTAAATTTTTCTTTTGTTAGGCTAACATTTTATTAATTTATCGAATTGAAATTGCTAATGAAAATGCAAATTTTATAAACATATGAAATTTTTTTTTTTCACAAATATGTGTGAAAAGTTAAATAATTCTCACCTGTATGTTACATCTTTAACATCAATTACTTTCTTTTCATTTTTATCATCTGGTATTATTGAATTTAAATAGATTTCCATTTGTTTACCAACCATTTCACTAGCTAAAAACATACCCTTAATTTTACCAGATGAAAATGATGGTGCCAATTTAGAACGTAATGCTTTCCATTTAGTTCCTTCTAATGCAAATAAACTTTCTGATAATTGATCATTTTCATCAACATAAATTCCACGATCATGAAAATTATTAAAGTCTTTAGTAAAAATATTTTTAACAATTTCCGAATCACGTATTAAAAGTGCTGGACGAAAAAATAAGTAAATTCCAACAATTGGACTTGATGTAGCATTGTATAAATCTTGAATGGCACAACCAAAAGATTTTAAACCTTTTCGTACTGAATCTAAGTTACCAAATGGAAATGTTGCATCAATATCATCAAAACCATTACGAGGCCAATATGTATAAATACTTTTAATATAAAAATAAAGTCCTGTTAAAAAAATCACTAACAAAAATGTTAACATTTTTAAAATTTATTTTTTTTTCTGTTAAATCCAATGTATATAAGTATGTTTCTGTATGCTTGGATATATTAATGTCGTAAAAAAACGATGTAAACAAGAGAGTTTGCAATAAACCGAAAAAAAGTAATTTTTTTTTTCGCGTTAATTTTGCCGCTGCAATTATTAATGGAATATTTTTCACTATTTTTTAATTTTTTTCATTTCGCTTTATCAACTGTACTGTAACGCGTTCTGATAACAACTAAATAATGGCAAGTCATTAAAGTTGTTTAGAACTATTCTAAATGTGATTTTGATTAGAAGTTTTGTTTTCTCTTCTTCTTTTTTACAATGTTTTTCTTTCTCTTTTTGTGTCTCATTTTCATTACAAAATTAATTACGTTATTACTGTATTTGAGTAGTTAATAGTACTTATTATGTTTTTTTTGTTGTCAGAAAAGCTCTTGCAATTGATTGTCTTCATTGTTTAATATTCTTTTTCAGAAATCTAGTAATTAATTCTAAACCGGTTAAACTTCAATGTGATCATTAATAATTATCGTTATCTAAGAAAACTGTTGCATTATGAAGTTTATATAATATCAGCAGCATTAGAACTCTAATTTTGAAATTATAAAATATTTATAATATATAGCTCAGTTATTTAATTAGAAAAACTATCCAATAAATGTACTGTATAAATGTACTGTATAAATAAATAAAGTTTGGATCTGGTCTGTTCTAAAAATAAAGCGCATATAAAATGTTGTCATGTTTTCGTTAGTACAATTGAAATTATTTGATTCGGAATAAAGATATTAGAACTTTTAAGCCAGGTTAGACTTAAATTTTTTGCCATAGAATCAATTTAATTTTGCAATTGAATTAACGGTTTCTGAAAGCGCTAATTTCATGCAGAATTATGAATTAATTTAACTTAACCTCACTGAATTTCTTAATTTTATTAAAAAGGATTAGAAAACTTAAATTGAACTTAAATATATTAAGAAAAGTATTTAAATAGAATAACCCACATATTTGGCCTTATAACAATAATAATAACTACTCTTTGCAAGATTTGTATTTGAATGTATTAAAATTGTCAAACACTCTCTTAACACTTTTATTTAGAATTATTAATGAAAAATTTTAGTAATGATAATTGAAGCTCACAATAATATGTGAATGATATTTTAAAATCTTAATATTAAAGTACATGTCATCGCATATTTTAAATATTTTAATTTATTTTTAGTATTTGTAATTTATAGAATTACATTTTGTAAAATAAATATAAATATTAGTCAAATATAGTTTGTTTACTTAAGTCACTTATAAGTACTATCAAGAGTAATTCTTAAGTAAATATAATTATAATTACACATATCTGCATATTGATGTTAAATTAATATTTTTGTGTAAATAATTTTTTATAATATGTAAATATTAGAATTTTAGAGCAACAATTTGTTTTCAAATTGAATTTTTCTGTGTTTCATATAAATAAATTCATTTAAGTTCATGTGAATGCTTTGTGTTAAACTAATTAAGAATTACAATTTACGGCGATTTAATATTGCTAAATAAAATTAGATGAAAAAATTTTCTCCTACTTATCTTTAATTTAGTTAAATTTTTTCTAGAAAATATCAAGTTATTCGCACATATTCCTTAAACTACATTCAAGCTTTGTTAATTCTCTGTCTTCTATAACTTTTCTAATATAAAACAAATCCTTTTTACGTACTGAATATTTAAGTTTACAAATATTTGCTTAAAAATTTAAAACTTATTTCCTATTTCTTGAAGAGCGATAAGGCAATAATTAACAAGAAAAAAATTAGAATCTGTTAATATTGTAAAAAAATACATATTGATTAACTGAAACAAGCAATAACTTCGTTATAGATACCAAATTAGATTTATGGTTAATTAATTTTCTTTTAATAATATTATCAATTAATTGAATCGTTTTCTTTATATAGAGAAACCAAAAAATAATTAAAAAGCCACTAAATTTTTGACTCATATTATAAATTTCTCCTCTAGTATATAAAGAAGAATGAAAATTTTACCTTACACTTGCATAGGACTAATATACTATCTGAAATTCTATGTATATGTACATATTTTGATTATTATGCCTCATGTTACCAACATAGTTAGTTGAGTAGTTATTATTAATTGTAGATTCTTTGTTAATCGAGTTACAAACGTTTCATTAAAATTTCAACCACCATTCATTTAAATTTTATTTTTTATTTAGGTACATATGCTTAAGTATAAACAAAATCACGTCAAAATGAATAAAATAATTTTGAAAATTTATTGCCTAAAAATTTACATAATTCTTAAAAGTTATACCAAAAAAATCTTATATATCTTTTGTTTACATCTGCATTTAATGTGTTTCGGAAATTTTATAAAAATTTTGTAAATTGTATTGTTCGAGACCTCTGAAATCTTACTGTTGCTGTTCCATATAATGAATTGAGGTGTTCCCTAATTAGTTTAATTTAATTTCTGTAACAAACATATCTGGCTTTTTTTAAAACTAGGATTTAATCTAATGGTTATTATAAAAAAAGGTTTGAGAAAATCCTTTAATTATTATAATTATAAATCTATTATCAAATAATTACCAATTTTAATATTATTCGAAAAAGATGTATGTATTTGGAATCATCGATGCTTTATTGAATTTTGTAATATTGTTAAGTGAATATTCTTATAATAAGTTTACGTAATTAACAGTCTTTTGTATTCTTGTGGTAATGTAATATGTTATATTAAAATATATGTTACAGTATAATACAGAATATTCATATATATGAAATAAACTTATATAAAGAAGCACTTAGCCGTATGTAACTAAAAATTATTCGTGATATTGGGGTATTGAATAATAATAGAAAAAATAATCTTATATATAACTTTGATTTAATGTTGATTGCGGTGTATTATTTGATTTAACAAGTATTCAAAAGTAGTAAATCATTCTAGTAAATATTAATGTATATGGGTGGTAGACATAATAAAGACTTTTGTAAATTGAGGATGTATAAATATTACATACTTTAGATACAAGAGTATTTCCACACAAATAGTCTTCAATTTATATATAGCTTACGATATCATAATTGTTTTTTAACCATAATTTCCTTAATAACATAAAATTATTAAGAAATTTATCAAAAATATACTATTTAATAATTTATATTTTATTTTCATAAAATTTCATAAAAATTATATTTTGATTTAATAAAATTCTATTTTATTAATTGTTATTTAAAAATTTTTTAAAATATGAAGTAATTTTATATTATTTTTCCAATTAATTGATAAATAATGAGATAATTATATTTTTAAAAATGGAAAATGCAAAAAATAATATTTTTATTTTACAGCGTAGGATTTGGAAAATATGGAAAATATTAAATCTTGTTAAAAATTTCTGTAATAATGAGAATTTATAGAATTGAACACTATAATTGTATTTTATTAATTTTATTGGAAAATTATTTTTATATATGGAAAATTATTATATATACGCAATATGTTTTTGTAGGGCGTTATGATTTATTATAGGTGTTTTATAATTGGTTTCAGACTTCTTATAAATCGTTAAATTTTTAATAATGAAAATACTTTTCAATTAAATTGTATTTATGTAGATGTAAAATACAATGCTATGATATTTTTAATACAATTTAGCAAATAAATCATTTAATTGCATATGTTTAGGCGGGTCATTATAATTATTTTGTTGGAAAAGAGGTTTGGGTGTTATTGCGATATTAATAATTAATTATTTATATTTTAAGAATATTAAATTTTTTTGTTAAAAATTTTTGTATAGGGAAACCAAAATAAGTATTAAGTTTGTATTTTTAGGCTTTTCATCTTTTAGTTTTATAAATAATTGTAATGTAAAACGAATTTATTAAATAATTTTCGCATATAGTAATTTTAATTTGAGCATATTCCCCTTTATTTTTATATGTATGTAAGTATTTACTCATATATACTGACTTTGATGAATTAATTTTGTATTCAACATGAAATTTTTTGCATTGAATTCTCATACGTTATATAAAATTTAATATAAAAGAATCAATTAAAATTATAATTGGAAAAGATAAAACTAAAATTATATTTTATAATTTTGAATATTAAAAAAATTTAATTTCATAATAAACTGAAAATTTTCTCTAAAATTACATAATTTTCCAAAAATTCTCTTTAAATGAATGCATGTAGATCGTTCTTCTCTTTTTAAAGAAATTTCATGAAAAAAATTGTGTGAATTAAGAAATTTTCTTTTAATTAAATTTAAAGACTTGAACTTTTTCTTTAAAAAATTCTTTTAATAGCAAACCTAACTTTTTTCTTTTTTTTTTTTTTTCATTTAATTTAGGTAATTTTATTTGCAAATAAGAAAGTAATATAAAAGATATACAAAGTATATTCGAAAAGAAAATTTTTTCTCTTTGTGTGCCGTAGGAAAAACGGATTTTATTTAAAAGGTGTTACAAACTCTCCTGACTGTTTATAATTTGTGCGAATAAAAATCTGTGGAATAAATTTATAGTGTAATTCTACTACGAATAGATTAGGGTGCCTGCTTTAAATTTCAAAATTTACTTCTAGTTTGTTCCAATACATTATTATTTTTTTTAGTACGAAAATCATTTAAAATAATTTTCGAAAATTTCATTTCAAAATCTTGAAACTTTTTTTTTTTTATAATAGATCTTATATCTTAGAATTTATAGATAGAGAACTTAAATGAGGACGTATAAGTTAGCAACTATATAAGGATTTTAGATTGTCAGTATTTATTGCATAATTATTGTACAATATCAGTAAATTAAAACAATTTTTAATTGTATAAGTAATTATCAATGATCACCATTCGTGTTCCCATGATTTTTTTTTGTGAATATCTTACTTTGTGGGCATCCTATGTGAATTTACCAGTAAAAATTTTAAAAGTTTAATAGTATATGTATGCACATACATATATGCATTTCCTATTTGAAAAATCTGAAAGACATTGTAAGACTATCTTTTGATTAGTATCACGAAATATAAAATAAATAAGAAGATGTACACTTCCATACAAGTATTATACACAGGGTGATTAAGAAACAAGTTAGGAGACATATATAATCGGGTATAGGGCCAAAAATGAGCAAAGTTTTTGTACGGAACATAGTGTTAAATCGGAAGCTTCTCCGATCTACAGGGG